TCTAATGAGTAAATGGTAAGAGATAATTAAACGTATGGCTGAAGTCAATAAAATAGAAACAACAAAAACAACTAAACAATGCAAAGAATCAGTCCAACAAGGACTGATTTGAGAAACTAAATAAGATAGACAAACCCTTAAACAAATTAATTAAAAGCTAGAGAGACTATCCAAATGAACAAAATCAGAAATGAAGAGGGCTACATGATGACAGACACTGAGGAAATCTAGAAAACATAAGGACATTCTTTAAAAACTTGTACAGCACCAAATTGGAAAACTGAAAAGAAATGGATAATTTTCTTAATAGATGCCATTTACCAAACTTATCTCAATATCAGAAAAGCAATTTAAGCAGACACATAACCCCTAATGACATAGAAAGAGAAAGTCTATGAGACTTTCAAAGAAGAGTTAACACCAATACTCCTCAAATTATTTCATAAAATAGAAACATTGCTGTGTTACCTTCATACCCAAACCACATAAGACCAATCAAAAAGAGAATTACAAAATAATTTCTCTTATGAAAACAAATGGAAAAATAATAAAATACTTATAAACTGAATCCAAGAACATATCAAAAAGAGTCTTCTCCATGATCAAGTAAGCTTAGTTTTAGAAATACAGAGATAGTTCAATATACTAAAAATCAGTCAATGTAATTCAAAGTAATGTAATTCACTATATTAAAAAATTGAAAGAAAAATTCCATATTGTCATCTATATGATGGAGAAAAGGCCTTTGATAAAATCTAACACCCCTTCATGATAAAATTTCTTAAGAGACTGGAATACAAGGGACAAAGCTCAACATATAAAGGCAGTTTACACCAAGATGATAACCAATATCAACCAAAATGGAGAGGAAACTCAAAGCAATTCCAATAAAATCAGGAACACTTTCTTTTTCTTTCTTTTTTTTTTTTGGTTTTTAGAGACAGTGTTTCTCTGTGTAGCTTTGCGCCTTTCCTGGGACTCACTTGGTAGCCCAGGCTGGCCTCGAACTCACAGGGATCCACCTGGCTCTGCCTCCCGAGTGCTGGGATTAAAGGCGTGCGCCACCACCGCCCGGCCCAGGAACACTTTCTCTATACCTATTCAATATAGTACTTGAAGTCTTAGCTAGAGCATTGCAAAAACTGAAGGAGACCAAGTGGATTCAAGTTGGAAAGGAAGAAGTCAAAAGATTTTTATTTGTAGATGACATGATAGTATAAATTGTTCTGTGAGATTAGCTCACACTGCCATTTCCAGACTGACAATAAAGTTGAATCATAAGACAGAGTTTATTATGGCCAGAACAAACCATAGAGTTTTTGTTCGACCCAAATTAGGATAGAGGGAAACAGAAAGAATAGGGAGGAGCTTAGAAAGATTTGTTGATTTTTTGTTCTGGGAAGGTGGAGAGGCAAGGTCAGCTGATCATTTCTCCACCACCCTGTGGATCTATAATGTTTCCACCCCAATATCTGACTCTGTAGTTTTTATTGATAAAAGAATAATTTAGATAAATGCTACAATACATAAGTGACCTTACAAATCCCATCAGGTAGTTCCTGCAGCTGATAAATACTTTCAGTAAAGTAGAAAGAAAGACAATTAACTCAAAAAATCAGTAGGTCTCCAATATACATATGACAAATAGATTGTGAAAGAAATCAGAGAAACATCAACTTTCACAATAGCCTCAAATAATACAAAATATTTTGGGATAACTCTAACCAGTAGAGGAAAAACCTGTATGATAACAATGTCAAGTCTTTGAATAAAAAAAGTGAAGACTCCCCCGAGGATTGAGATCAACCTGGTAGACTCAGTCCAGGCAGATCCAGTCCCCTCCTCCCAGGCTGAGCCAAGCAACACTGCATAAGCCCCAGGTTTCAAACAGCCGACTCATGCAATGAGCACAGGACCTGGTCCCACTGCCTGGATGCCTCCCAAACAGATCAAGCCAATCAACTCTCTTATCTATTCAGAGGGCCTGATCTAGTTGGGGGCCCCTCAGCCATTGGTTCATAGTTCATGTGTTTCCATTCATTTGGCTATTTGTCCCTGTGCTTTGTCCAACCTTTGTCTCAACAATTCTCGCTCATATAAACCCTCCTCTTTCTTGCCAATTGGACTCCCGGAGCTCCACCCGGGGCCTAGCCGTGGATCTCTGCATCCAGTTCCCTCAGTCATTGGATGGGGTTTCTAGCACGACAATTAGGGTGTTTGGACATCATACTACCAGAGTAGGTCAGTTCAGGCTGTCTCTCGACCATTGCCAGTAGTCTATTGTGGAGGTATCTTTGTGGATTTCTGTGGGCCTCTCTAGCACTTTGCTTCTTCCTATTCTCCTGTGGTCTTCATTTACCATGGTCTCCCTCTCTGTTGTTGATCCAGCTGGGATCTCCCGCTCCCCCAAGCTCTCTTTCACTCGACCCTCGCCCTTCATTACCCCCACTCATGTCCAGCCTATTCATGTAGATTTCAACCATTTCTCCGTCATTGGGCGATCCCCGTGTCTTTCTTGGGGTCCTGTTTTCCAGGTAGCCTCCCTGGTGATGTGAGTATCAGATGATGGAAGGATGTTCCATGTTCATGGATTGGTGGAATTAACATAGGAAAATCTGAGATTAAATTGGCCATCCTAGCAAAAGAAATCTATAGATTCAGTGCAATCTCAATAAAAATTCCAACAGTTTCTTCACAGATCTTTAAAGGACAATTCTCAAATTCATATGAAAACGTATACCAAAACAAGAAACCTAAAACTCTCTAGAAAAAGAAAACAACTCCTGGAGGTCTCAGTACTACTAACCTCACATTATGCTATGTAGGTATAATAATTAAAACAGCATGGTTTTGGCATAATAAGAGACATATTGATCACTGGACTCTAACTAAAGACCAACACATAAACCCAAACACATAGGGACACCTGATTTTCTATATTTAGAAAAAAGCCATACATATACACTGGAAAAATACAGCATCGTCAACCTATGGTGCTGGTAAAACTGGATGTTTCCATGTAGAAGAATGTAAATAGGCCCATGCCTATCACCCTGCACAAATTGCAACTCCAAATGAATCAAAGATCTCAATATAAAACCTGATATTTACTCTGGCCAGAATAAACCATAGAGTTTTAATTTGACCCAAATTAGGAAAGAGAGAAACAGGAAGAATGGGGAGAGGCTTAGAAAGATTTATTGAATTTTTCTATCTGGGAAGGTGGAAAGGCAGGATCAACCTGATTTTAAAAATAAAGGGAGAAGAAGCCTTGAACATATTGGCCCAAGAGAAGACTTTTTGAACCAAACACCCTTAATGCAGGCACAAGGATCAACAATTAATAAATGGGACCTCAGGAAACTGAAGATCTTTTGCATGGCAAAAGACATTGTCATTTGGTCTAAGCAGCAATGTACCAGAACAGGAAAAGATTTTGCCAACTCAACAACTGACAGGGGGCTAACAGAAAAATTATATAAATAACCCAAAGTACTTCTTATAAAAATTCAAATAACCAAGTTAAAAAAATGTTCAGATCTAAATAGAGTTCTCAAAAGAGGAAACTCAAATGGCTGAGACACACTTAAACACTCAAAATCCTTAGTCACCAGGGAAATGCAAATCAAAATTACATTGAAATTCTGTCTTAAACATGTCAGAATGACTAAGATGATAAATAGCACATGGGACAGATCATGCTAGCAACAATATGGGGAGCAAGGGGAATACTTTGTCATTGCTCGGGGAAGGCAGACTTGTACAGCCACTATAGAAATCATCAAACTGTTGCGACATTGGAGAAAGGAATTAGTGGTAGCCTGGATCTGTGTTCCCAGGACAGGATCACTCATATTTAGCTTTAGAATTAGGTATCTATTATGCCTGTTGAGGATGGAATAATATATTTGTGTTGACAAGTAGAATCATATTCTACTTGTCCTTCTGGTTTGACTTGTTTAATGTCACATAGTTATGTTGGAATGAGCCACTCTAGGGTTGCAGGGTGGCACTCACAAGCATACAAGCCAGAAGAGAGGATGGTAAATGGAAACACACTTTATTATATTTAAACATTGCACAACACATGCATGCACACACACACATCAGTACCCAACTCATATGTACACATCTGTTTGTATGCTAGTTAATATACTTTAAGGAAAATTTGTTGTAAAAGTTAATAAGAGAATTTATGGATATAGTTTCCAATGTTACTAAGAGACAAAATTTCACATCAAACCCAAATATCCTCTGGCTCTTATCACATTTCTTACCCCTATTCTGCAATATTTGCTGAGCCTAACTTGTGACAAATGTTTTAAGATCCATTAGGTTTTATGCTGATTTAGCAAAATATTGGTTGTAGATTCTCCTCCAATAACCATAATTTCACTAGCACAGAGTAGTTAACTAGGATTCCAACATGTCCCCAACGTGTTGCCTAAACGTGAGATGAACAAGGATGACAAAAATGAACAGGAAATACTGAATGGGGGAAAGCCCATGAGGTTTAAACTGCACACAATCTACTAGAGAGAGTAAATCTGAGAGCAGGAGAGGTGTTCTCCTCAGGAAAGAGCACATCAATTGTTAACCCAGTGTTAAACTACCAGCCATGAAAAAATAAATACAAGTAACATTATATGGACTTAAATGTTATATATATATCTCACTATTTTATACTATATGTACTTGTAGCTGGAAGTTTTTCTGTTTTCTGACCAGTTCTCAGCTGTTCTGACACAAGTAAACACACAAAGGCTTATATTAATTAAAACTGCTCAGCTATTATCTCAGGCCTATCACTGACTAGCTCCTACACTCAAACTCATCCCATTTCTGTTAATCTATATGTTGCCATATGTTTCATGGCTTTACCTGTGTACCATTACATGCTGATCCCTAGATGGCAGGCTGGCTTCTACTGACTCACCCTTTCTCTTCCCAGAATTCTCCTTGTCTGCTTATCCTGCCTATACTTCCTGCAGGGCTACTGGCCAATCCGTGTTTTATTAAACCAGTGTACAAAAGCATTATCCCACAGTGTGCACTATATACAAATATTTATATGCAATATATGTAAAAAGAGGTCATTAATTTGAAGAAGACTATGGAAGGGAGGCATGTAATTAAAATACAATTTCAAAAATAAAAAGACAATGAGAAATCTTTAGAACTTTATTTGAAGGCATGTTTTATTTTAACACATATTTCAAGATGATAATTGTTTCTTATCTGCTTCCATGTAGTTCTTTATCTAAAGAGTTCAGCTCTACAATGTCACTTCACTGACCTGTTCCATGAAGGAGGTAACAGTCCTTTAGGCATAGAAAACAAGGCAAAAGGGGTAAGTATTTCTTTCTGTATGGTTAATGCTGCCTTTGTATAAATCACATATCCATGTATATTTTCTCTATAGATCAATGTTTGTAGACTTTTAAAAAATTCAAATTCTTTGTATTGCAAAATTTAAAAAAATTAAAAAAAAAAAGAATTCTTGTTACTCTCACAAAAGACCTGGGTTTGGTTCACAGTACCTACATGTGGCTCACAGACATCTGTGGTTCAGGTTCCAGGGGATTCAATGCCCTCTTCTGACCACTCATGGTACCAGGTGTGTGTGTGTGTGGTGCACATACACCTATTCAAGCAACTTTCATACATTAAAAATAAAAAAATAATTTTTCATTTGTTTCCTTTTATTGAAAATAGACTAAAAAAATTCAAATTCTTTTAATGTGTTTCATATTCAAACACTGTGTGAAATATCAGAAAGAGCAGTGCCTAAAGAGGTATAGGACAGTGCTTCTCTTTTAACAACTCTGAAACTCCATTAAGCCTCCTCTTCATATACTGATGAACAAAGGAATACATAAGGAAGTCCTTTGAGAAGTAAATCTCACATGTTTCACACTCAAAGCAAAGTCCCCCAGCATGGGAATCAGAGCTAGTTACAATTACTTTGTGGCTAATCAAAGTCGATTGGTGGATGTTAGACTTATACCACTATGCCCAGCTTTGCTACACATTTCTTATAAAAGAGATAGCTACATAGCAGGCAAATAAGTGATGTCTCTGTTATTTTCACATGCTAATAAAACATGGAAAATGTAAGGTCTCACACAAATGATAACATTTTATTTAATCACATGATAGCTGCATACATATTTTCATTCAAATCATTCCAATAAAACCATAGCATAATAAATGAATAATTTGTGATTTATGTAGTAGATTTAACTAAGTTCTTAGAAAAGAGAAATCAACACTTTCTTTATTTTTATGAATTCTGTATAAAATTATCTCAATCATATTGAAATCTCAAAATTTAAACAAACAAGGTCAAACACTATCACACCCACATTAGATCTGCATCTACAGAATATGAATGCTCAATATTTGTCTATGCATGTTATTACAATTTTTTTGTACAACCTATAACTAGGAAGTAAACATTTCAGAACTGCTTAGTCTGCCTTCATTTTACTATATTGTCATTTGGTATACTATATCAGTCATATAGCTGCTATTTAAAATTCTGTTATTCTGCTATTCTGAGCACAGTATAAAGACTATAATACCAAGATACCATGTGTGGTGAGGGCACAGTGAAGTGGAGCTATGGCAGCAATGCCTGCAAATTCATTCTGCACAGGGAACCTTTGTTCCAGCTGTGGGAAACAGTGGTATCTGAAAAAGTACTGAAATTCCAAACACCTCAGAACAAGCATGCCTCAAATTCAATGCTTTTACTAAGATGGTAAAGCTAGTCTGATTTGCACTTTCAAGCATATGAAGTGGTATTAATTCTGTCACGCTGCAACTTTTTCTCATTTTCAAAAATACTTAATCATGCACATGAAATCTCAGATGTATAGTCATTGTAAACACTGTTAAGATAATTATTAAATTGTATAAGATGCATAGATCTTATTGTATTTTTGAATAATTAATAGGTATTTGAAAGTCATTTTGTATCATATTTAATAGAAATTACTGAGCAGGCCTATGTTATGGCATTGCCATCTATCCTGTCATCTCAGCTCTTCTATCTAGTCTACTCTACTACTGCAAATCCACTTCTTTATCAGGATCATCTTGAAGGGGCCTCCCTTTCAACTGGTTTCTAGTCATCCAAGTCCAGGAATCCTTCAGGACCTCTAACATGTTCACACTGTAGAATTCATGTTAAGAGCTCAGTCCCATCTGGGGACTCTCCCAAGCAATTGCATCATTATCTACACCCACAGAATCTTTAAATAGGCAGCAATAACATCAACAGTACTGTGTTAAGAAAAGGCACACACACATGATGGAGCTGTATTCAGGCCTAAAGAAAAATGAAATAATGGCATTTTCAGTAAAACAAATTGAACTAGACATATTGTTAAATGAAATGAGCCAGATATAGAAGACAAATACTAAATGGTTTCTCTCATTTGTGAGCATCTAGTTTTGGGGTTAGAGGGAAGATTTGTGTGAGTCTCTCTCTCTCTCTCTCTCTCTCTCTCTGTGTGTGTGTGTGTGTGTGTGTGTGTGTGTGTGTGTATGCACTGTGGGATGTTCTGTATGTTAAGTGTGTTGCTCTGATGGATTAGTAAATAAAACACTGATTGGCCAGTAGCCAGGCAGGATATATAGGCAGGATAAGGAGAGAGGAGAATTCTGGGAAGTGGAAGGCTGAGTCAGAGAGATGCTGCCAGCCACTGCCATGAAAAGATGTTAAGATACCAGTAAGCCACAAGCCACGTGGCAACTTATAGATTAATAGCAATGGGTTAATTTAAGATACAAGAACAGCTAGCTAGAAGCCTGCCATGGCCATACAATTTATAAGTAACGTAAGTCTCTGTGTGTTTAGTTTACTTGGTAGGGTCTGAGTGGCTGTGGTGGGTGAGAGAGATTTGTCCTGACTGTGGGCCAGGAAGGACCAGAAAAACTCTAGTTACGTGTGTGTGTGTGTGTGTGTGTGTGTGTGTGTGTGTGTGTGTGTGTGTACAAGTGTTTCTTTAGGTAAAAATGTACAAAGAGGCAGAGAACAAAAACTGCACTCATATGGAAAGTTGAGAAGGATAAACCAGAGGGTAAAGGAATGTGTGCCACAGAAAAGCAGAGGGAGAACAGAGGAAAGAAGTGAGGGGGAATACAAATAAAAACATAGAACATTGACATGCCTGTACAAAAATGTTCAAAAAGAAAAAAAATTGCCACCAATATTTAGTGTTTACCCTCTTCCAGTGCATTTTACCAGGGTCATCTTAAATCTATTTCTTGTGCTCCATCACCATAGTAGCAGGTAACATATGTTTCTTCATGTAATGAAGCTATAATTATAAAGCCTCACCAACATGTAAAACTCAAAAAGAAGCTAAACAAGGATGATGGCAAAGAACATGACAAAAACAACATGATGAAAATCCTATGAGTCTACATTCCCACACAAAGTACTATAGTTAACTGGGTAAAGCTGGGAGTGGGAGAGGCTGTCTTCCCTGGGGAAGATCACAATGGTCAGCCATGAAAATACACATATGAGTAATATTATATGGATGCCACAGGTAATGTTTAGGAATATATATGTTATGTTATATTGTTTATTATTGTTTGCATCTATACATGTATGTATGTATGTATGTATGTATGTATGTATGTATGTATGTATAGACCTATATTATTTGTGTGTATTTGTGCATGCAATAATAAATGATAAAAAAGAAGCCACTGTAACACAGTTTTTCTGTGTTCCTACATGGTGGCCCTGCAATCCCATAGCCATTCAGTCCCAAGTAAACATACAGAGGTTTATATTAATGAAAACTGCTTGGCCATTAGCTCAGGCCTACCACTGACTAGCTCTTACACTTAAACTCAGCCAATTTCTGTTAATCTATATGTTGTCATGTATTCTGTGGCTTTACCTGTGTGGTATTAAATGCTGCTCCCTAGATGGTAGGCTGGCATCTCCTGACTCAGCCTTCTTCTTCCCAGAATTCTCCTTGTCTGTTTATCCCACCTATACTTCCTGCCTGGCTACTGGCAAATCAGTTTTTTTATTTATCAGCCAATCAGAGCAATACATTCACAGCATACAGAACATCCCACAGCACCTCTCCTTTTCTGTCTTATCAAAAAGAAAGAGTTTAACTTTAACATAATAAAATTACATATAACAAAACAGTTATCAAGCAAGAATTATAGTCACAACATCTAGTCTAAGTATATTTATATTTGGCAAATTCAAAGAAAATATTCTATTTACCTTATATTTGTGAGTCTAAGTTTTCATATATAACTTATTTTTTATTATAACTAAGGAAAATTATAATTAGTCTTCAACTACATCAAATAACTCAGAAGGATATAATGTTACCTAAGTAAACAGGAAGAGCATTGTAAGCAACCTCCAAAACTCTGGAAATGACAGAGACAGCTGGTCACCTGGACAGTCACCCAAAGTTCATCTGCAGCATTGGAGCATCCATCTTTAGCCTAAAGGCCTACAGTCTCTCAGTCACTTCTTTCTGTGTCTTTTAGAATGTCTGGCAGTTTCTTCCATGAAGCAAGAACCTGAAGGACTATTTTTGCCTTATTTGGGCAAATTCAGTGGTCATTTTTTCATGGGTCCTGCATGTCCAGTCAATACAACATTTTGTCACTCAGTCCAGGCAAGAACAGTTGCTTGCCAAAATGACTATTTTTGCAAAGAATAAGATATACTCCATATGGAGTGTCTTCAGTGCCCATCTTCCTCTCTGAAATAAGTCGGTCCTGCCAGGATCAGACATGTCTCACTGTCCAGAAAATACAAATTTTTAAAACATTTTAATGTTTTATTAATTCCATGTTCTTTAGGTCTTTGAAGTGTTTGAAGATTACATAATAAATTGAATAATATCTATGAATAACTAGAAAACATGACTATAAGTTTGACTATCATAGAAGACTAATTATGAATCTGTATTTCTTAATTATCTTTTACACTTTAAATGAGTTACATAAACATAACACTTTAACAAGAGTAGAAATATATATATATATATATATATATATATATATATATTATATATAGTATCATAAAATCAACTTTAAATTCGTTTCAAAAAACTAAAATCATCCCTGAGCACCAGCCACTCCAGGGAAGACCTGCCCAACTTGGCCCCAGGTTCTGGCCACCGGGCAGGTTCCCTGCTAGCCCCACCAGGAAGGATCCCCTTCTCCAAGACCCCTGGCAGACCCTGTAGTCTCCACGCCCTGCCCCCACGCCCATCCGCCTGAGCCCCAAGCCTCTTCCTGAGACTTAGAGGCCGGCCCCCAGCTCCCATCTTGCTCCGGATGTCCGTTTTGGAACACTCCTGAGTACCCTTCCTTGCCCCAGACCCCATCCCTGGGCACCAGCCACTCCAGGGAAGACCTGCCCAACTTGGCCCCAGGTTCTGGCCACCGGGCAGGTTCCCTGCTAGCCCCACCGGGAAGGATCCCCTTCTCCAAGACCCCTGGCAGACCCTGCAGTCTCCACGCCCTGCCCCACGCCCATCCGCCTGAGCCCCAAGCCTCTTCCTGAGACATAGAGGCCGGCCCCCAGCTCCCATCTTGCTCCGGACTTCCCTTTTACAACACTGGTGAGTGCCCGTCCTTGACCCAGACCCCATCCCTGGGCACCAGCCTCTCCAGGGAAGACCTGCCCAACTCAGCCCCAGGTTCTGGCCACCGGGCAGGTTCCCTGCTAGCCCCACCGGGAAGGATCCCCTTCTCCAAGACCCCTGGCAGACCCTGCAGTCTCCACGCCCAGCCCCCACGCCCATCCGCCTGAGCCCCAAGCCTCTTCCTGAGACTTAGAGGCCGGCCCCCAGCTCCCATCTTGCTCCAGACTTCCCTTTTGGAACACTGACTTCCCTTTTGGAACACTGGTCTGTCTGAACCAAGTGTGCGGATAAGGCCAAGAACGAACCACAAGGAGATGGGCAGACGTCAAGGCAGAAACATATACAACAAAATGAATAGCAATACAGCATCACCAGGCCCTAGCCCTCCTCCAACACCTAGACCTGAACATCAAAAATTGGAAGAAGCAGAAGAAAACAGCCTTATGAATGACATCATGAAGAAGCTAGAGGCTTGCGTAGAGGAAAAGACAAAAAAATGTGAAGAACGCTGTAAACAACTAGAGGAAAGGGCAAACAAATTAGAAGAAATCAATAAAGTCCTGGAAGAAAACAATAAAATACTGAGAGAAAATCAAGAAAAATCAATGAAACAAATGAAGGAAACAGTCCAAGACCTGAAAAGGGAAATAGAAAAAATGAAGAAGACACAAACAGAGGGAATGCTGGAAATAGAAAATCTGAGAAAACGATTGGGAACTTCAGATGCAAGTATAATCAACAGAATGCAAGAGATGGAAGAGAGGATCTCTAGCGTTGAAGATACAGTAGAAGAAATACATTCATCAGTCAAAGAAAACACTAAAGCCAACAAAGTCATGAACCAAAATGTCCAAGAAATTTGGGACACCATGAAAAGACCAAACCTAAGAATAATAGGGGTCGAAGAAGGAGAAGAATACCAACTCAAGGGCACAGAAAATATATTCAACAAGATCATAGAAGAAAACTTTCCCAACTTAAAGAAGGAAATGCCTATGAAGATACAAGAAGCTTATAGAACACCAAACAGACTAGACCCCCCAAAAAAGTCCCCTCGCCACATAATAGTTAAACAACTAAACGTACAGAATAAAGAAAGAATATTAAGAGCAGCAAAGGAAAAAGGCCAAGTGACATATAAAGGCAAACCCATCAGAATAACACCCGATTTCTCAATGGAGACTTTGAAAGCCAGAAGAACCTGGACAGATGTAATGCAGACACTAAGAGACCATGGATGTCAGCCTAGACTAATATACCCAGCAAAACTTTCAATCACCATAGATGGAGTGAACAAGACATTCCATGACAAAGCCAGATTTAAACAATACTTATCCACAAACCCAGCCCTACAGAAAGCACTAGAAGGAAAATTCCAAGCTAAGGAATTCAGATACACCCTCGAAAACACAGGCAACAGATAAAGCCACAGCAGTAAACCCCAACGTATAGAAGTACCCACACATCACCACCAAAAAATAACAGGAATGAACAATCACTGGTCATTAATTTCCCTCAATATCAATGGACTTAATTCACCTATAAAAAGACATAGGCTTACAGAATGGATACGAAAGCAGGACCCATCTTTCTGCTGCATACAAGAAACACATCTCAAATTCAAAGATAGACACTACCTAAAAATAAAAGGCTGGGAAAAGACTTTCCAATCAAACGGTCTTAAGAAACAAGCGGGTGTAGCCATCCTGATATCCAGCAAAATAGACTTCAAACTAAAATCAATCAAAAGAGATCAAGAAGGGCATTACATACTCATCACAGGAAAGATCCACCAAGATGAAGTCTCAATTCTGAATATTTATGCCCCAAACACAAGGGCACCCACATATGTAAAAGAAACATTACTAAAGCTTAAATCACATATAAAACCCCACACATTAATAGTGGGAGACCTCAACACCCCACTTTCACCACTGGACAGATCTCCCAAATTGAAACTTAACAGAGAAATAAAGGACTTAACTGATGTCATGACTCAAATGGACTTAATCGATATCTACAGAACATTCCATCCTAACAAAAAAGAATATACCTTCTTCTCAGTGCCCCATGGAACCTTCTCTAAAATTGACCACATACTTGGCCACAAAACAAATCTAAACAGATACAAAACAATTGGAATAACCTCCTGTGTTCTATCAGACCACCATGGTCTAAAGTTGGATTTCAACAACAACAAAAACTACAGAAAACCTGCAATCTCATGGAAACTGAATAATACCCAACTGAATCACCAATGGGTTAAGGAAGAAATAAAGAAAGAAATTAAAGACTTCCTAGAGATCAATGAAAATGAAGACACCACATATCCAAATTTATGGGACACTATGAAAGCAGTACTAAGAGGGAAATTCATAGCACTAAATGCCCACATAAATAAGTTGGAGAAATCTCACACTAGAGACTTAACAGCATACCTGAAAGCTCTAGAACAAGAAGAAGCACAGTCTCCCAGGAAAAATAGACGCCAGGAAATTATCAAAGTGAGAGCTGAAATCAATAAAATAGAAACAAAGAGAACAATACAAAAAATTAATGAAACAAAGAGTTGGTTCTTTGAGAAAATCAACAAGATAGACAAGCCCTTATCCAAACTAACCAAAAGACAGAGAGAGAGCATCCAAATCAACAAAATCAGAAATGAAAAGGGGGACATAACAACAGACATTGAGGAAATCCAGAGAATCATCAGGTCATACTTCAAAAACCTCTATTTGACAAAACTGGAAAACCTAAAAGAAATGGATAACTTTCTGGATAGGTACCACATACCTAAGTTAAATCAAGACCAGATAAACTATTTAAATAGTCCAATAACCCCTAATGAAATAGAAACAGTCATTAAAAGTCTCCCAACCAAAAAAAGCCCAGGACCAGATGGTTTCAGCACAGAATTCTACCAGATCTTCAAAGAAGAGTTAATACCAATACTCTCTAAATTGTTCCACACAATAGA